TGAGAAGGAGTTTCTATCTTTTTGCTCAGGCTGGAGTGCAATGGCACAGTTTCAGCCCATTGCAACCTCTGCCTCCTGAGTTCAAGTGATGCTCCCGTCTCAGCCTCCTGAGTAGTTGGGACTACAGGCATGCACCACAACACCTGGCTAATTTTTTTTGTATTTTTAGTAGAGGTGGGTTTCACCATTTTGGCCAGGCTAATCTCAAAGTCCTAACCTCAGGGGATCCACCTGCCTTGACCTCCCAAAGTGCCAGGATTACAGGCGTGAGCCACTGTGCCTGCCCCCACCTTTTTAAAATCATACTACAACAAGAACAAGGAACAGAAACATAAACTCCATCTGAAATAAAACTAGGTCATGTATATATGCCCAAACATGATCTATAAAGACAGAAAGTGGAAGGAAGAATGGTAAATGACTTAGCAGATCGAAGGAAGATGAGACTTAATTCCCTGTAGAGGGAGATGCTGACCAGAAACTGGCCAATTTGCCCTGCTAAGTGCCAGAAAGGCTCAGAAATAGAGACACCAGGTATTTCAGAAGTCAGGCTTGAGAAGCTGGGGCTGAATACGGAAAGTCTGTAATAACCAATAGATCCTCAAGTCTCCTCTCTCAATCTGCAGAAGGCAGGAGGTATATTTCTGGATAATTAAATCAGGAAAGTTCTAGACTGGGGACTAGGTACAAGGGAGGGCAAGTGTGGAGCACGGGCCTGAAGACAAGAGGATTAAGTAAAAGGCTACTATTGAATGCTGAGACCTTGACCTTACTCTTAGCTGTATCCTGGAAGATCCTTCTCAGGAGAAAACAAACTCACAAGAGAAAAGATCTGCAGACATAGACATCTGGGGGATCCTAATAAAAAGCTGATTAATCCTCTAACTGCCCTACAGGGGAACTCACTAGTGGGTATGTGGATAAGCGCACTCCAAGCTTTTAGAACCTGACTCTTAAATATGTATAGACAGCCAAGAATTCCTAGACATTTCTAGATGAAAGTGAATGGGCTGAGTGCAGTGGCTCATGTCTGTAATCCCAACATTTGAGATGCTGAGGCAGGCAGATCGCTTGAGCCCAGGAACTGGAGACCAGCTTGGGCAATGTGGAGAAACTTGGTGACTACCAAGAAAAAAATCCAAAAATTAGCTGGGCGCAGTGGCAAGCGCCTACAGTTGCAGCTACCAGGAAGTGGGGCGGGGAGTGGTGCTGAGGCATGAGGATCACCTGAGCCTGGGAAAGTCACAGCTGCAGTGAGCTGTGATCACACCACTGTACTGCAGCCTGGGCAACAGACTGAGACGTTGTCTCAAAAAGAAAAAAAAGAAAAGAGCCGGGCGCGGTGGCTCAAGCCTGTAATCCCAGCACTTTGGGAGGCCGAGGCGGGTGGATCACGAGGTCAAGAGATCGAGACCATC